TTTTTTTTTCAACTTGACTAAGTCCGGCAGTTTTCCTTTCAACTTCAATTGTATAAGCTGAAATGTATAGAACTTTGGTAATATTTTTATAGTTTATTTTTTCACTAATAATTTTTATTTTTCCCCTTATCATGTAAAATAAGAGGGATGTCTTTCTCTATCTGAAAAAATGTAGTTATGGAGATAAAATTTAACAGGATTTGCATTCTTAAGTGTACAACCATTTGTATTATTATGTTAGGGACATTGATATGTTTAAATATTATATGTCTTGAATGATTTAGCGACAAATAGACAAATTCAAACAAAAACGATATTAGAGTTGAAGATTAAAAAGAAAGAGTCATGAGAGGATGAATTTTGTAAGAAAAATGGAGAAAAGAAAGATGGATGTTTATTCTATATAAATAAGTTATCAAAAAAGGCTAATAGAATGTGGTGGTACAATGGTTATTACATTGTCTTCTATCACAAAGGTAGTTCGAACCTTGGTAGCTTTATTTTGCAAAACTTAAAAAAAAAAAAGAGGGGAATGTTGAAAACTAGAAACTGCCGGTTCACCGATTTTAACGGGTTTGACTGATTTTGACCGGTTTTCTAATGAAGTCAACTTTAGTATAGAATCGGACCGGTGCTATGGCCGGTTCGCGGTTCAACCGATCGAACCGGCTGGTCCAATCTGATTTTCAAAACACTGAGACAGAGAGAGAGAAAGAGAGAGAGAGAGAGAGATCAAAAATCAAGAATTGCATTGAAAATAATAATAATAATAATTGTTGTGCCACGATTTTTTTCCCTTTGTATCAAGTGTTGAAAAAGCGGATAGAATAATATGCATTTCTACTATTTATAAGTACGTTATATCCACTAATTCCTTTGTTTATTGTTGAAAAAAAATCATGAATATTGATTTCATAGGAAAATGATACAGAACAATGCCTGCCATGCTAATTAGCTCGACAGGAAGGGCAAAAATATTTTTCAGCAGCCAATTAGGAATTTTTCTAAAAGGCTGCTAAGATTGTTAGCCTGACAACCTGCTTGAATATATTTTTTTTTAAATGTTAAGCTACTGGGCTTAGGCTGGAAACTTTTCTCAAAGGCTGCTGGGCTGTTTGCAAGGTGCTTAAAAAAAAAAACTTGACAAAGCCTTGCAGCCTGTTTGCTTAATCAATTTTGTTAATTTTATGTACAAGCCTTAGAAAATTTTTTAGATGAAATCCAATTTACAAGAAGGTGCATTATTTTTTCAAAAAACCTAACAATAATCCAGTCTTTGACTTCATAGGTTTTTACACCTGGGTTTTGCTCATTTTATCTAATCAGGTGTGTTTCTTGACCTTTTCTCTTAATCTCTTCAATCTTTTTGACCAGGGAGGATTGTATGCAAAAGACGTGATTCTTGTCTTTTTCAGCCTCTAATTTGATATTAGATGTAATATGTTAATAGGAACGATGAGATTGTTGATGCTTTCAATATTCTTTCTGTTTTATTGTCTGAAGAATCTGAGATTTCTTTGTGCCCATTATGAATGGTTAATGACTGAAGTCGATGGTTTTTGCACAATGGTAGTGTTACTTGATGGATTAATGTTATCAAACTTCATGGTAGGGAAATGCTGTTTTTTTATTGAGTAAAGTAGATGCTACAGTCAAAAGTCTGTCTTTTTATGATCCTTTAAAATAGGAATATTCTGATTGCAACGTATCATTTCTCTCAAAGCAACTTGATTCAGCTCTGATGCGAAATTCAGGGTTTTTTACTCTTTCCTTGGCAAAACTGGATTGGCAGCTATCCCCTTTTTGCTTTACTTGAGTTCTGATTTGGGGATGAGAGCAGTTCTTAGGTCCATCAAGCAATTCAAATCAGTCTCTCGGTACAGAGCAGATACTGTCTCTATCGGATTTCCAAAAAGACAGCATTTTTGGGTCAATACGAGTGAAAGGCAACCTAAAGTCTACACCGATATGCAGATATTTGCAGATGTTACCATCCATCTTACCTGTTCTCCAGAGGTTTGCATGCTGATGCTGCAAGATTAGCTAATGGAGGTTGATACCTTATTGGTGATTTATGGTTCGCAATTCTTCTAGTGGCATTTTTAATGGACATGAAGTTTTTGATAGGGTGCGATTTTATTATTTATTTTATTATTAATTTCCCCTATTACCTGACTCAATGTGATTTAATTGCTGGATTCTACTCACTTTTAGTATTTTACATTTATTTCAGGGAGTAGAACGAAAATACCACAATCAATGCTAATTTGACAGTCATCAGGAAAGAATTCAAATAGGAGGTTGACAGGGGCATTTTGGGAACACAAAAAAGACGTGAGCCCTTTGTAATTTGGGCTGAAGTCTTCCTTTCTCCTGGGCCGCCGCACATCTGAGGAAGGCAGAGGATAAAAACCAAACAAATAGCAGAGAAAGAGGACGGCTGGCTTCCTTAGCTTTTCGTCCTGTAGCTTAGCTTTTACCTTTGATTTTTCTATAGAGAGCTTTGAGAGATGGAGCTCACGTATGTCAAGAACAAAAGGAAAGACTTGAGTCATGCTCTGTAGTACTTTTGATTTAGATTTTAGCTTTTCGTCTTGTAGTGGGTTTGCTTCCCTAGCATGTCAGAGGCGATCAGGAACATTGAATTCTCCTCTGTAGCTTCATTATCCTCCATCGCGCAAGCGAATTGCATTTTCCCAGTTTCTATGATAATGGTCGCGTTCCTTGCTGCAATTTTCCATGGGTTTAGTTCATCAATTATGAACTAATTCCCTTTGTCTAGTCAAGGGACAACGGATGCTTTGGGTCGCCTAAAATTGTGAGATCGATTTAATTTTATCTTTTGCTATGATTGTTCAATTAATTGATTGTCTTGGATCCGGATAATTAGTTAATTTGATAATCTATTGTCAATTGGGACGTTAAATCCGTAATTGTTTAATTATTTCAAAATAGTGATAACTGGCATGATTGGATTCGTGTCAGGGGAATACGCGGGCTAATCTAAAATAACCCTGGTAGTGCGTTATTTGGTTAGAATAGGGCTCCTCTAATACGTAAGGCAATTGAGAAATTAAATCTTATGGGCGTACCTAAGATTATTTTTCAATTAGAGCAGTGATTAACGGGCGTACCTTAATCACCGACACAGTAAAGAGGGGTTGACTGCCATCGCTTGTTTGGTAGTTATAACCTATTTATTGGTAAATAATTGCAATTGGCTTTGCATCGATGATCAATTAGGTGAACCATTGCTGAAGTTATTTCTTGGCTAGATCGTTAATTAATATTACCTTGATTTTAGTGAATTGCCATTTGATTTCTAGTTGTCTACTTCATTTTATTTTTAAGTGCTCTCTTGCTTTAATTGATTTAGGCCTTTAATTATTGTTACTCTGAGTTCAATGAATTGTGGTTTAATTTCTAGTCAGTTACTTATTTTTATTTTCTTATTTGAATTTATTTGATTGTCGTCGTTCCTACAAAATCACCCCCTGTATTACTTTGGATTTCTTAAGAAACAAATATACCCAGTCCCTGTGAATTCGACCCTACTTACCGCTATCTACAGAAATTACTTTTAGTTTGAGCAGGTTTTATTATTGCACAGGCTGACAACCTGTCAATTTTTGGCGCCGTTGCCGGGGACTGGCTTTATTATTTGTTTCTTTTTAAATTCATTTTTTTCTGTCCTAATTTTCTGGTTTTCTTCTAGTGTATGCATCGATCTTCTCGTACAGGTGATTTGATTTTTGACCCTGAGGTAGAGAAGACCGAGCGTAGAACGAGAAAGGAAACCAGACAGCTCAGAGAGGAGTACTCCAGTGCTGCATCTCAGAGACCTGAGCCAAGAGTTGACCCAACAGATTCGTTTGGTGACATTTCAAGTGACTCTGACCAGGAGGAAGGAATCATGGCTAATGCACGAACATTGAGGGAGTTGGCTGCCCCTAATTTAAATCAGCAGCCTCTATGCATTACCTTCCCCACCTTAAATGATAACATTCCATTTGAACTAAAATCTGGTCTGATTCAGCTTTTACCCTCTTTTCATGGTTTACCAGGTGAAAAACCGTATAAGCATCTGCAGGAATTTGATGTCGTGTGCAACAGTATGAAGCCCCCGGGTATCACAGAAGAGCAGATAAAAATGAGGGCATTCCCCTTCTCCTTGAAAGATTCTGCGAAGGACTGGCTGTACTACCTGTCACCAGGTAGCATCACCACGTGGGACCAATTGAAGAAAAAATTTTTGGATAAATATTTTCCTGCGTCCAGGGCTGCAAGTCTGAGGAAAGAAATTTGTGGGATCAAGCAGCATCCAGGGGAGTCACTCTATGAGTATTGGGAACGGTTCAAGAACTTGTTGCACAGGTGCCCCCAACACCAAATAAGTGAGCAGTTGATCATACAATATTTTTATGAGGGGCTCTTTTTCAGAGACAGGAGCATAATTGATGTTGCAAGTGGAGGGGCGCTGGTGAACAAAATCCCTCAGGAAGCACGGGAGCTAATAGAGGGGATGGCAGAAAATTCACAACAATTCGGTACGAGAGAGGATGTTCCAATACGCAGGGTGAATGAGGTAGAGACACCCTCCATGCAGCAGCAGCTAACTGAGTTGACCGCGTTTGTTAGGCAACTGGCTGTGAGAAATGCATCACAAGTCAGGGTATGCGGGATTTGCACTGGTATAGGTCACTCTGCAGACATGTGCCCAATGATTCAGGAAGAAACTGCAGAACATGTGAACATGGCTGATCACGCGCCCGCGCCAAGGAAGCAGTACGACCCTTACTCAAGCACCTACAACCCCGGGTGGAGATCATCACAACCTCAGTTATGGAGGGAATAGGCAACCCAACTTTACACCGAACAGGCAGTCTAACTTTGTGCCAAATAGGCTACCATGGTACCAGCAGCAATACCAACCCCGACCACCTCCGGCCCCAAGCTCTGGTCCTTTTTTGGAGGAGATGATGAAACAAATGATGACAACCATGACACAAAATCAGCAAAGGACGGAGGCAACCATTATGCAAAATCAGCAAAGGACGGACTCCGAAATGCATGACATAAGAAATCAGATGAGTCAAATAGCCACAAAAATCAACCGTTTGGAGTCCCAAATAAATGGAAGATTGTCATCCCAACCTGAACTGAATCTGAAGAACGTAAGTGCAATGACTTTAAGGAGCGGGAAGAAAATTCAAGGGCCCGAACTCGTGACTCCAAAGGATAAGGACGAAGAGAAGATTGAGAAAGAACTGCATGCAGAGAATACAAGCACCAAAAATCCAGTGGTACTCCCTGACCCGATCATAGACGTTAAAACTGATCCCCCTCCATTTCCTTGCAGGTTGGAGAAACCGAAGAAGCAGGACAAAGAGAAAGAGATCCTAGAGGTGTTCCGCAAGGTGGAGATCAATATCCCCTTATTAGACGCCATCAAACAAGTGACGAAATATGCAAAATTTTTGAGGGACCTATGTGTCAACCGAAAGCGGCTTAGGGGAGACGAAAGGATCATTGTTGGGGAGAATGTGTCAACAGTTCTCCAAAGGAAGCTTCCACCAAAGTGCGGGGATCCAGGTAGGTTTACTGTCCCATGTAAGATAGGTAATACTCTGATTAGGAATACCCTGCTGGACTTAGGAGCATCGATCAACGTAATGCCTAAATCTATGTATGCTTCTCTGAACCTCGGTCCATTAAAAGAAACCGAGATAATAATTCAATTAGCTGACCGAACAAACGCATACCCTGATGGGTTGATAGAGGATGTGCTGGTCAAAGTTAATGAATTGATATTTCCGGCTGACTTTTATGTACTTGACATGGATGATGATCATTCCCCTAACCCCTCACCTTTGCTACTAGGTAGACCCTTTTTTAGCACAGCACAAACAAAAATTGACGTTAATAAGGGTACATTATCCATGGAATTTGATGGGGAACTAGTCCACTTTAATATTTTTGATACAATAGAACATCCTGTTAACTCTCACCCTGTGTTTGCTATTCATGCTATTAATCCCTCTGTGCAAGAATTTTCTGAGTTTGCTTGTAGGGATAAATTCAAATTTACTGAGAACAAGGATAAGGGGATGAAATCACTGTATGAGGTGAAAAGGAGTAGAAAATTTAGAAAGAGAGCTGCACTCAAAGGCTATTTGGATCCTGAAGGAGGGCCACCGATTTCCAGGAAAATTGAGTTACACCCAAATTGAAGAGTGGTGTTCAATGTCTCGCCAAAGACGTTAAAAAAAAGGCGCTCATTGGGAAGCAATCCAATTGTTTCTTTTAATTGTTTGTTTTGATTTTGTGTGATAGTTTAAATATGTTTTTCTTGAATTTAACTGATTTCGGGTTGAAATTTTCGTTTTTGGTGAGTTGTAGGTGTCTATCTTATTCGGCGCGCCCGCGTCATGACGCCCAGGATACTCACGGTCAGAGAGCTCCCTTGCCCTCTTGACGCGCCCGCGTCATGATAAACAGTAAGCTCACGATCAGAGAGCTCCTCTGCTCTCATGGCGTGCCCGCGTCACGTTCGCGGGAAAGGTAAGGATTAAAAAAAAAACACAGAAAATCTTTCTTTATCCCCGTAGCTTTAGTTTCCAAAATTAAAAAAAAAGAGAAAAAAAAATTATTAATTTCCGTAAAAAAAAAAAACACAAAAAGAAGGGGGAGATATTTTTCACCGTAGCTTTGGTTTCCAAATTTCAAAAAAAAAAAAATAACAAAGAAAAAAAAAACAGTTCCTTTCTTTTTCTTTCTTCTTTCTTTCTTTTCTTTCCTTCTTTCTTTTTCTTCTTTCTTTCTCTTTTCTTTCTTTCTTCCCCACTGCTTCCCTTCTATCCTGCGCACGCCGACCGAGAGCCGCGCCACCACCCACGGACGTCCTCCCACCAGCTCCGCTCACGCAGCGAGCTCTCTCCCTCTCTCTTTGACCCGCGGCCATCAGCCGCAACCCACGCCTCCACTGGCCGCCGCCGCCGCTGAACCTCCATCGCCGCCGCCAACTCCACCATCGTGCGCCAAGACCGCAACCTGCCCTCGCGCCCTCCCTCTCCTCTTCGCAACTCCCACCTCGCCGCTCTCCACCTATGCGTCGCAAGCTCCTGTCCGCGACCAAGCCGCAGCGCCACCGGCCTTCCCCCTTGCAGCACCATTGCTCCGTGTAGTTGTCAAGGTGGAGGTATTCCTTTCACTCCTGCTCTTTAACGTATCCGGAAACCCTTGTTGGTGACTTTGCAAATTCGAGTGCGTGGACAACTTTTTGTGATCAATTGTGACCCACTCTGCTGCTTTATTACTGAGTAATTTGAGGTCGGTTGTGGAGATTAATTTGGGTATCGTCTGCTTGGATCGTCTATTGCCACTTTAGTGGGGCGATTCTTGCTTTCGTTTGTCTGATTGGGAGGCTTCTATGCCCTTTATATTGCTTATTCATGAATTGCATGTTGAGTTGGGAGACCTGTGCCACATGATTTACTTGCTGCTGTTGCTAGTTTCAAATTGATCTATTGGGGGGCAGTCTGGCTGTCGAGAATTGGGTATTTGTATTTCTTGGTGGGTGAATACTTATTTGGGGGGTTTTTGCTTTACTACTGCTCTACTCTGCTATAGCAATTTCATTGATTTTGGACTACGTTTTGCCCCCAGTGGTACTAGTGGGAATATTTTCAATTGAATTTGGTACCTCTATTTGGTTGGCTGAGTTATTTTTTTTTTAATTTTTTTTTCAAATATCTAAGTTGTCATTGTTGAAATTGCTGATTTTAAGTTAAGGCATTAACTGGCCAACTGGAACCATTTTTTTGAGATTTTGGGTGGACAGAGTTTGGCATTTGCTGGTTGAATTGAGTTATGATGTCTCAGAACTTGGGTGCGCACTTCCACCGCATCGGTTTCCCTCCATCGTCCCCGCCTACCCAGTAGCCACTTGAGAGGGAAGTTTCGTTGTCCTCTTCACTTTAATTGCTTTAATTCCTCCATTGAGGACAATGTAGGATCTAGGTGTGGGGGGGACAGCTGTGCTAGTTTCTTTTTCTAGTTTTTAGTTTTCAGATATTTTTCTTTTATTTTTAGTTTGTTATTTGTCTAGTTTTCGCCTACTTTTTGTCATTTATCTGTCTAGCTCTACCAAGTTTGATGTTGGATTGTTGCCTCTATTTCTGCTATTGCCAAGTTTTAATAATAAAAGGGTATCGAGTTAATGTGGTTGAATCCAAAAATATCTCTTTGGTGAATATCGATGATTGTTTCATTCTTATAATTTTTGGTTAACTTTTCTAGGCATAGGGAATGATTGTTGGCATTTTCATGTGAATTGGTCTGGTTATTAATTTTAGTTCTCCATGTTTGAAAATGAGGCAAGCTGATGCAAGTTTTCTTTTGGTTCGTGTGTTATATTAAGTTTTTATGATTTTTAGTTATGAATAAATTTGACTGTACTCCGCTATTAGTTACTACTGAGTAACCGGGATCTGCACCTAAAAGTGTTGATTCTCGCGTCAAAAGGTAGTAATTCCTATGAGTACGTGGTCACGTGGCGATAGAAGCTGAGTAATCGGGCTCCTTCATCTGGCAAATATTGGAGTTCACGTCAAAAGACTCTAATGGCTAGCGACTAAGTCTTTTGTTACTATTGAGAAACGGAAAAAAGAGAGAGAAGAAAAAAAAATCAACAAAAGAGAAAAGTAGAAAAATGTGATAAAAAAAATGAAAGTTGTGTTAGTGTGTAATAAAAGTCAGCTTGCCGATTTATGGATTTAATGTTGAGATTCTGGTTAATAGTTGGACCATTTGCTGATAAATGTTGCGCGTCATTCCATTTGCTGATAAATGTTCCCTATTACCTGACTCAATGTGATTTAATTGCTGGATTCTAATCACTTTTAGTATTTTACATTTATTTCAGGGAGTAGAACGAAAATACCACAATCAATGCTAATTTGACAGTCATCAGGAAAGAATTCAAATAGGAGGTTGACAGGGGCATTTTGGGAACACAAAAAAGACGTGAGCCCTTTGTAATTTGGGCTGAAGTCTTCCTTTCTCCTGGGCCGCCGCACATCTGAGGAAGGCAGAGGATAAAAACCAAACAAATAGCAGAGAAAGAGGACGGCTGGCTTCCTTAGCTTTTCGTCCTGTAGCTTAGCTTTTACCTTTGATTTTTCTATAGAGAGCTTTGAGAGATGGAGCTCACGTATGTCAAGAACAAAAGGAAAGACTTGAGTCATGCTCTGTAGTACTTTTGATTTAGATTTTAGCTTTTCGTCTTGTAGTGGGTTTGCTTCCCTCGCATGTCAGAGGCGATCAGGAACATTGAATTCTCCTCTGTAGCTTCATTATCCTCCATCGCGCAAGCGAATTGCATTTTCCCAGTTTCTGTGATAATGGTCGCGTTCCTTGCTGCAATTTTCCATGGGTTTAGTTCATCAATTATGAACTAATTCCCTTTGTCTAGTCAAGGGACAACGGATGCTTTGGGTCGCCTAAAATTGTGAGATCGATTTAATTTTATCTTTTGCTTTTATTTATTGGTATTCGCATATTCCCTGGTTACAGTGCTTATGATTGTTCAATTAATTGATTGTCTTGGATCCAGATAATTAGTTAATTTGATAATCTATTGTCAATTGGGACGTTAAATCCGTAATTGTTTAATTGTTTCAAAATAGTGATAACTGGCATGATTGGATTCGTGTCAGGGGAATACGCGGGCTAATCTAAAATAACCCTGGTAGTGCGTTATTTGATTAGAATAGGGCTCCTCTAATACGTAAAGCAATTGGGGAATTAAATCTTATGGGCGTACCTAAGATTATTTTTTAATTAGAGTAGTGATTAACGGGCGTACCTTAATAACCGACACAGTAAGGAGGGGTTGACTGCCATCGCTTGTTTGGTAGTTATAACCTATTTATTGGTAAATAATTGTAATTGGCTTTGCATCGATGATCAATTAGGTGAACCATTGCTGAAGTTATTTCTTGGCTAGATCGTTAATTAATATTACCTTGATTTTAGTGAATTGCCATTTGATTTCTAGTTGTCTACTTCATTTTATTTTTAAGTGCTCTCTTGCTTTAATTGATTCAGGCCTTTAATTATTGTTATTCTGAGTTCAATGAATTGTGGTTTAATTTCTAGTCAGTTACTTATTTTTATTTTCTTATTTGAATTTATTTGATTGTCGTCGTTCCTACAAAATCACCCCTTGTGTTACTTTGGATTTCTTAAGAAACAAATATACCCAGTCCCTGTGGATTCGACCCTGCTTTCCGCTATCTACAGAAATTACTTTTAATTTGAGCAGGTTTTATTATTGCACAGGCTGACAACCTGTCAGTTTTAGTTTTTGTTGTTTATTGGATTATTTTGGTTTAACTGCAGAAATAGATGGAGCAGGGCCCCTTGTAGAATACTAGCGAAGAATAGCCTCTGGTGAACTTGTGGATGGAGATATTTGCTAGGTTGGTTAACAGAATTACCACTCTATGATTTAATTCCTTTGAAGGTAATAGAATGCATAATGATTAGTAGTTTTAAGCACACAAGGCAAGGATTTTGTTAATGTGGCGTTGTCCCACATTGGCTTTTGTATAAGGGAACCTTTCCCTTAGTTGCCTATAAATACAGTGGGCCTGTGATGGGGTTAAGTGCACCAAAATCAAGAGAGCATTAGTGGGCTATTTGGGCCTTTGGGTCATTAAACCTTTTGTTTAGTTAAATATTTTTAGACTCTCTTGTGTTTTTAGTATTAGGTGTTTTAGGTCTAGGAACACTTTCCTAAGGCATCTTTTGTACTCTCTTCTTCATGGTAAAATATTGCTCCTCTTTCGCCTGTGAACGTAGGTCAATTTGACCGAACCACGTAAATTCTTGTGTTCCTGTTTTACTTATTTCTGCTTTGTTATTTGTCTTTTGGGGTTGCCAAAAATCTTTTCGTCAATTTCTTGGGGCCAGACCTAACAAACTGGTATCAGAGCTTCTTCGGAGGCTTTGGATTTTGTGGCAACAATGACAATAACAAAGACTGTCATCGAGAAATTCGACAGGAATGTCAACTTCGAGATGTGACAGCTTAAGATGGAGGCCATTTTGGTTCAAGACGGAGTTGATCTAGCGATACACGGAATTGAGAAAAAGTCAGAGAGTGTGATAGAAGCAAATTTTGCTGAGATGGATAAAAAGGCAAGATCCAGTATTATCTTAAATCTCT